ACCTATTATGAGAATAGATATTTTGAAAGTATTTTGGCTATGTTATTTTAATATGAATGCTGAAATATACTTCTTAAAGTTTACATTATTTAATTTAATTTTATTTTTATGCATCATGAGAAAAACTGGGCTGGATGAAGCACAAGCTGGAATCAAGATTGCTGGGAGAAATATCAATAACCTCAGATATGCCGATGACATCATCCTTATGGCGGAAAGTGAAGAACTGAAGAGTCTCTTGATGAAAGTGAAAGAGGAGAGTGAAAAAGTTGGCTTAAAGCTCAACATTCAGAAAACTAAGATCATGGCATCCGGTCCCATCACTTCATGGCACATAGATGGGGAAACAGTGGAAACAGTGTCAGACTTTATTTTGGGGGGCTCCAAAATCACTGCAGATGGAGATTGCAGCCATGAAATTAAAAGATGCTTGCTCCTTGGAAGAAAAGTTATGACCAAACTAAACAGCATATTAAAAAGCAAAGACATTACTTTGCCAAGAAAGGTCTGTCTAGTCAAAGCTATGGTTTTTCCAGTAGTCATGTATGGATGTGAGAGTTGGACTATAAAGAAAGCTGAGAGCAAAAGTATTGATGCCTTTGAACTGTGGTGTTGGAGAAGACTCTGAGAGTCCCTTGGACTGCAAGGAGATCCAACCAGTCCATCCTAAAGGAAATGAGTCTTGAATATTCATTGGAATGACTGATGCTGAAGCTGAAACTCCAAAACCCTGGCTACCTGATGCGAAAAACTGACTCATTGGGAAAGACCCCAATTCTGGGAAAGATTGAAGGCAGGAAGAGATGTGGACAACAGAGGATGAGATGGTTGGATGGCGTCACTGACTCAATGGACATGAGTTTGAGTAAACCCTGGGAGTTGGTGATGGACAGGGAGACCTGGCATGCTGCAGTCCATAAGGTCGCAAAAAGTCATACACGACTAAGTGACTAAACTGAACTAGACTCATTCTATATTTTTTATCTTATTTATTTTTTTAAATTACCATGATTCTACCTAGCTATTATAATTTTATGTACTAAATCTTTCCCTTTTATTTTGCCTATCTTTTGTTAAAAAATAAAATTATATCTCAAGAGCAAATATGAAAATTTGTCACTTCAACTTTCAGCTTTAAAAAATTCACAGAATTTTCTGGGTTGTTTTGGAAATATTAAATTGGTTATAGATTTCATATTTTATTAGGATTACATCTTATTTTTGAATATTCCCTTCTATAATCCTTTAAAATAGATCCTATATAAAAATCATTTCCCTCTATTTTTGTATTGTAAAATATGAAGAAATCAAAATAAAGCCACATGCAATAATATTGTCAGTGTGCAAATTATTTAAACAAACAAATATTTTAATTAATTTCAGTTCAGTTCAGTTGCTCAGTCGTGTCTGATTCTTTGTGATCCCATGAACCGCAGCATGCCAGACCTCCCTGTCCATCACCAACACCCAAAGTTTACTCAAACTCATGTTCATTTAGTGGGTGATGCCATCTTTTCCAATGAGTCAGTTCTTCGCATCAGTTGGCCAAAGTATTGGAATTTCAGCTTCAATATCAGTCCTTCCAATGACTATTCAGGACTGATTTCCTTTAGGATGGACTGGTTGGATCTTCTTGCTGTCCAAAGGACTCACAATAGTCTTCTCCAACAGCACAGTTCAAAAGCATCAATTCTTCAGTGCTCAGCTTTCTTTATAATCCAGTTCTCACATCCATACATGACTACTGGTAAAACCATAGCTTTCACTAGATGGACCTTTGTTAGCCAAGTAATGTCTCTGCTCTTTATTATGCTGTCTAGGTTGGTCATAACTTTTCTTCCAAGTGCAAGCGTCTTTTAATTTCATGGTTGCAATCACCATCTGCAGTGATTTTTGGAGCCCATGAAGTGATGAGACCTGATGCCATGATCTTAGTTTTCTGAAAGCTGAGTTTTAAGTTAACTTTTTATCTCTCCTCTTCACTTTCATAAAGAGGCTCTTTAGTCCTTAAATTTTAATTAATGTAATAAAGATCAAAAATAAAACTTTAAAATCACTTTATTTAGGAATATTTTAAATTCTAATTTCTATTATGTTGTTGGTTACACAGACTTTTACTATTGTGTCACTTAAAGTTACAGCTTTCATTCTTGACAAATACAATCTATTATAATTTAGTAGTTTATCAATTATCCCAAATTTAAAGAGTTTTAAAGGGGCTATTTACCTACCAATAATTTAACATTACCAATATAATTACAAATTGCTTTGGTCTTTAAGAATTCTTGACACTTCAAACTGCCTATTTGATTACCTTCCCTTCCCCACTCAAAAAAAAAAAAAAAAAATCATTAGTATGCTTATTATGGTAAGAAACTTTCTCTCTCTCTCTTTTTTTTTTTTTTTTTTGGTCTAAATATGAACTCTTGTTATCATTATTTTTAAGGAATATTTTGGGGAGAAAAAGAATTTATGGTTGCCAGATATGACCCTCTGGCTCTTGGGAATTATCTTCCCTTAGGGAGGGATTTTATTCTTCCTGATTAAATAATCAGCTTTTAAAATTGTCCTTTAGAAAGTTTTGAGTATTCTTTTTATATTCTACATGCTAATCCTTCATTGGATAAATGGTTTGCAAATATATTTTTTCACTCTATGATTTTACTTCTCATCCTCTTAACAGTCTTTCAGAAAACAGAAATGTTTAATTTTGATCAAGTCAAATTTACTGACTTTTCAATTATGCTTTTAATGTCATCTTAAGACGTCTGCCTGGCATTACCTTCATTTTTTCTTAACAGTATAATGTCTCTTTTCTCTTGATATTTTAATTTTAACTTTATTTTTGAAATTTCATTTCAATTTATCTAGGTAAAGTTATTTTTATAAACAATTGCTCAGTTTTTTTTGTTTTTCTCTGTTTCTTGAATTCTTGACTTGGATGTTTGTCAACAGTATGGAAAGTTTTACAGTCATGATTACCTCAAAAATTACTTCTGCCCAGTTTTCTTTTTTAATGTCCTTCTGAGAATTGATTAATTTGTATATTAGGTCTGCATGTTCTATATTTATCTTATCCTTATTTATACTTTCTACCTTCTTGTCTTTCCATTCTTTAACATGAATGTTTTAATCTAATCTAATTTGCAGTTGTCTATTTGTACTATTTTCTCATCAGCTATGTCTAATCTGATGCTATTACCAAAACTGAAATCCCATATTAAATGACTTTTTTAAAATCTAAATTTTCTATTTGAATGTTTATCATTTTCCTCTTCAATTGTATTTGTATAATATATGTTAATAAAATAATTTTAGGACGTGTGAATCCATTTCTAGCACTATTGAAGTGTGATTTGGTAAGTAAATCATTTTATATATGTATCACAAAACTCTGTTTTTTTCTTTCACATGGTGAAGTGGGAAAAAAAAAAGCACCAGAAGTGATGATCTTAATATATTGCTAAGAGTAAAACAGATAAGCACTTAATACCTAAAAATAATATAATTTTTAGTCATTTTGTTCTCACTCATATTTTCTAACTTTCCTGTAAGAAATAGACATGAGAAAACTTTATGTAAGCTCTATATAGAGTCCTGCATTTATATGTATGTAAATATTTCCCCTGGAGATACTAAAAACATATAAGCAATGATTATTTTAACAAGCCATACCTGATTGTCCTCATACACAAATACACAAGCCAATGTTTCTCACAACCATAATTGTATCACAAGTTTCAAAATGATTTAAAATAATTTTGTATGATATATTTTTTCTGGTTTACCAAAGACAGTAGCTATCTGACTGAACTAGACCTAGGCCATTTTCACTTCTCTTGATTCATGTGACAGACAGACTTCAAGGTGTCCATTATGGAATCCATGCCTCCTTGTGATCCCTTTTCTTGAATTCTAGGTGTGTCTTGTTTCTTGCTTTTGACCAACAGAATATGGAAATAGGATATATCACACTGGTAACACTACATTACATTATATGAAACTGTTAGACTCTTCAGAAAGACTCTCTACTTATTTGAAGTGGCCATATTGGGAAAGCCTATATGACAAAAAAAAAAAAGAGAGAGAGAGAGAGACACAAAAGGAACAATAAACAAACAAAACCAACTGTGGAGGCATCTCAGAACTCTGCGGAACACTGAAACTCTCAGGTCTGCAGCTGAGAGTAACTGAACGTTACCAACGTGAACATGGAAGAGTTCTCCCAGCCTCAGGGAAGAACACAACTTGATTCCATCTTGTGATACTCCCACAGAGACTGAGCTAAGCTGTGAGCAGAATTCTGACCTGCAGAAACTATGGGATGCTAAATAGGTGTTTGAAGTTGCTAAATTTGTGTAATTTGTTACACAGCAGAGAAGACAGAGTCACATCCCCTTCCCATAGCTCACTTGCTTTATGGGTATCAACAACACTGGTCTCCCTATGGAATCACCATGCTCCTTTAACTGGCTGCCACACTACATCCAGATTCAAGTTCCATGTTCCAGTTCTTCTGTCCTTCCTTCATTCTCCCTACCTCCTCAAAACATATACATTCTTCATGTTGAAACCTAATCACCTTCTAGTATCAATATTACTCAATGGCCACTGTAAGCTGCTCCCACATTCCCTCCAAAATAGACCAGGCCATTTTCTTCTCCCCACTCTAGTTTATAAGCTTCATCAGGGCAGGAAAGTTCACTGTTTCCTCCTCACTTAATACAGGGCTGTATGCAAATCATTCAGTATAATTTTATTGGCATAAAAAAGACATGCATGAAGGAGTTCATTTGTTGAATTACATTTGTGATCCAGAGAACATTTATTTTCTGTGGTTCTCAAAAAATCTATTTGGTACTTAAAGCTTTATAAAATTTTTTGTACTAAGCACAAAAATAACACTGAGGGATTTTTGAGGATTATACCTAAGAATAATAGAAAAAGAGCTGCTTACTTTTCACCCATTCAAATTATTAGGAAGGAAACAATTAACTTACCTGACCAGGCTTAGAATTTTCACAGACAACAATATCATATTCCCTGGCAAGCTCGGGTGGATTGTCATTGACATCCAGAACTCTAATACCCACAGTGACATGGCTCAGCAAGCTCGGATTGTCTGCAAAAGACATAGGGATGCATTCAGTATTTTCATGCACACTTTAAGAGACTTAGTTTAAAACCAATCTCCTTAATACTGCAGCTTGTCACTAGCCCACATGCTGCCGCAGGACTTTTGGCAAAAGACAACTTTATGAAGGCACTCTTTGTTAGAACTCATTAACTTACAGAAAAATGACAAATGAACACCATGGCATGACATGAATGCTAAAATGATACTTTGTCATATCAAGGAAATTACATGTTATTCAGGAACTGGAGTGGGAGAAAGTTGTCAGAACTCACTGTATGCTGTCAAAGTCCAAGGGATGAACAATTGGTTTTATCATTAATCTAAGAAAAGCACAGTAGTTGGAAAAAAATAAGATAATCTTTAAAATGTTCAAGGTTTCAAGTCTAAATCAACTTGGAGATAATAAAGTTCTTTACACAAGGATAAAATTATTACAGGACAATCTATGCAGTCTGTGGTGTCAAATCATGCTTAGGGAACAATAAAGAATAATTTAAATTAGAATTTAGCATAGAATTCATATAAAACCCTGATAAATATCAAAATATTAGAGCTACTATTTTAAAATATTTCTAAAGTGCAGTCTTACCATTTTTCAGTAAGTTTATTAGTTATGAGATATAACAAAAGAAATGTTTAGTTTATTTTATATGTCAAAGCTAAAAATATAGAATTCATAATGGAAAAATAATGAGAAGGCAAAAACAAAACATATTAGAAACAAAGAATCAAAATACATATACAGAAAATATTAAAGAAAATGAATATTTAAGTGATCCATTATTTATTACACATGACATAGGTGCTTTTAAAAAAGTAGGAAATCAGAATGCTACTACAATAACTAAAGAAGATAAATTTTTAGGTTAAAAATATTGTTCAAAGATAAAAAATCAGTCCTAGATAATTTAACTTAAAGAAAAAGATATCTTCAATCTTATAAATCTTTTCTCGAGAAGAGAAAGGATGAAATACACTACAACTTGTTCTCTGTGGCCAGTAAAGTTTTACTATCACTATCAGATACTCCCACTCATGAGAGGTATTATCTGTCAGTGAATTAAACAATATAATACCAAACCCATTCCATTGGTATGTAAAAGAAAACTATTACTTGTTTAGTTCCAGAAATGTTTCTTAGTTCATCATTAAAGGAACAAAACAAAGAAAGAAGGAGAGAGGGAGAGAAGAAATTCGAGAATTTTTTTTAAAAATATAAAAGTTACCTAAAAAGTCAAAGCATTAAAGGAGGAAGAAAAAATACAGAGATACTTCTCTTAACATACATAGCAAAAAGTAAGATATAAAATGTAATATCCTTACATTCTAAACAAACAAACAAACAAAAAATGGACCTTAGGATGCATCACTATGAACAAAGCTAGTGGAGGTGATGGAATTTCAGCTTAGCCTGTTCCAAAACCTAAATGATGTTGCTGTCAAAGTGCTGCACTCAATATGCCAGCAAATTTGGAAAACTCATCAGTGGCCACGGGACTGGAAAAGGTCAGTTTTCATCCCAATTCCAAAGAAGGAAATGCCAAAGAATGTTCCAACTACAGCAAAATAGCACTCATTTCACATGCTGAGTGAAGTAACGTTCAAAATTTTCTAATCTAGGCTTTGACTATATGTGAACTGAGAACTTCCAGATATACAAGCTGGATTCAGAAAAGGCAGAGGTCCAAATGTCAAATTGCCAACATCCACTGGATCATAGAAAAAGCAAGAGATTTCCCAAAAAAAAAAAAACCAAAACAACTACTTCTGTTTTATTGACTGCTAAAGCCTTTGACTGTGTAGATCACAACAAATTGTGGAAAATTTTTAAACAGACGGGAATATCAGACCACCTTATCTGCCTCCTGAGAAACTTGTATTCAGGTCAAGAAGCAACAGTTAGAATGGACATAGCCATGAAATTAAAAGACACTTGCTTCTTGGAAGGAAAGAAGTGACACACCTAGGCAGCATACTAAAAAGCAGAGACATCATTTCACCTACAAAGGTCCATATAGTCAAAGTTATGGTTTTCCCAGAAGTCATGTCAGATGTGAGAGCTGGACAATAAAAAGACTGAACGCCGAAGAATTGATACCTTCAAACTGTGGTGCTGGAGAAGACTCTTGAGAGTCCCTTGGACTGCAAGGTGATCCAACCAGTCAATCCTAAAGGAAATCAGCCTTGAATATTCATTGGAAGGGCTGATGCTGAAGATGAAGCGCCAATATTTTGGTCACCTGATGAGAACTGACTCATTGGAAAAGAGCCTGATGCTGGGAAAGATTGATGGCAGGAGAAGTGGATGACAGAGGATGAGATTGTTGGATGGCATCACTGACTCAATTAACATGAATTTGAGCAGACTCAGGGATATGGTGAAGGACAGGGAAGCTTGGTGTGCCACAGTCCATGGGGTTGCAAAGATTTGGACATGACTAAGTGACTGTACAACAACTATGGATCAAACACCCTAGGATCAAACCTGTGTCTCCTGCACTGGCATGCAGGTTCTTTACCATGGAGCCACCAAGGAAACCTAAATATACAGAAAAAAGTTATAAAATATTAAAATTAATATAGTGTATGAATAGCTTAATATAATGACCAATAGAATTGGCACTTATGATATTTTGTCAGTGTACGATAAAAGATAATGGGGTGCTGATGTATCATATTAGTCAACTTCATATTATAAAGACAATTAGATCTATGAAATTAAAGTTAGCTCAATGTTGATTAAAATATTTGCTTATTTAGAGTGACATTATGAAAAAGGGGCTTCCCAAGTGGCATAGTGATGAAGAATCCACCTGCCAATGCAGGAGACACAGGAGATGGTGTCTGATCCCTGGATTGGGAAGATATCCTGGAGTAGGAAATTGCAACCCACTCCAGTATTCTTGCCTGGAGAATCACATGGATGAGGAGCCTGGAGGGCTACGGTCCATGGGGCCAAAAAAGAGTTGGATACAACTTACTGACTAAACAACAACAAAGCTAGAAGACTGTATATTTAACTCAATATCAACAAAGAAAATATTGCAAAGCATAATAATAAATATATTTTATCATATCACTGTACTCAAGACTTAATGTCATTAAGGTTATCCTCAAAAATATACTACTTCATTTTGCAACAAATTATTTAGTTTTGCATGTGTTTTTTTTTCTTTACAAAATACTACAATTTTAAATGAAGTCTTCTGAGATATTTCTGAAAAATATATTTCAATCAGCATTTGGTTTCTAAGATTTTAACTATTGCTGTAGCTCTGCTGCTATTCATCCTAAAGGAAATCAATGCTGAATATTCATTGGAAGTACTGATGCTGAAGCTGAAACTCCAATAATTTGGCTACTTGATGTGAAGCACTGACTCATTTGAAAAGACCCTGATGCTGGGAAAAATTGAAGGCGGGAGGACAAGGGGAGGACAGAGGATGAGATGGTTGGATGGCATCACCGATTCAATGGACATGAGTTTTGAGTAAACTCTGGGATTTGTTGATGGACAGGGAGGCCTGGCATGCTGAAGTCCATAGGGTCGCAAAGATTTGGACATGACTGACTGACTGAACTGAACTGATGATATAAACTAATCACAGTTATTTCATCTATTCAGCCTTTGTTGGAAAGAGACACAACTGAGCAACTAACATGGTAACATATTATGAAAAAACGGCATTGCTAAGCTTTTGTGGAAGCTGATATTGACCATACTTGATCTTTTTATAATTTTAAAAATAGAAAAGAATATTCAGTATGAATTCTCATTTTGTAAATTACCAAAGTGAAACTGACACATTTTAAATGGTTTATCTTGGCAAAGTCAGGGTTATGAATTACTTCTCAGACATTATATATATGTGCTAGTTTATTCCTATATTTCTCAACCAGGTATTTGTTCACTTTTAAGAGCAGACAAAAGAAATCTGTTCTAGAAATCTGAGACAAGAATAATATCATTAGTTTTAATCATTGGTATCAGCAGTGTTAAAATGCATCAAAATTCTCTGCTCCTTTTCTGAATGAGAAGAACTAGATGTTATCTTGCTGTATCAGAAAAATGTTTTCTGGAAAGACATGTATCCCAATGTTCACTGCACCACTATTTACAATAGCTAGTACATGAAAGCAACCTAGATGTCCATCAACAGATGAATGGATAAAGAAGCTGTGGTACATATGCACAATGGAATACTACTCAGTCATAAAAAGGAATACATATGAATTTGTTCTAATGAGGTTGATGAAACTAGAGCCCATTATACAGAGTGAAGTATGTCAGTAAGAGAAATACAAATATTGTACACACACACACACACATATATGGAATCTGAGAGATGGCACTGATGAATTTATTTTCAGGGCAGCAATGTAGAGACATAGAGAACAGACCTGTGGACAAGGTGGGAAGAGAGGAGGGAGAAGGGGAGATGTATGGAGATGGTAACATAGAAATTTATAATACCATGTGTAACGCAGATAGCCAATGGGAACTTCCTGTATGGCTCAGAGAACTCAGTCAGGGGCTGCAACAGGCTGAAGGGTGGGGTGGGAGGCAGATGGGAGGGAGGTTTGGGAGGGAAGGGCCAAGGCTGTATGTATGGCTGATTCTTGATATGTGACAGAAAACCACAAAATTCTGTGAAGTAATTATCCTTCAATTAAAAAAAAATTTAAAGTTTTTAGGAAAGGATTCTGGGAAGACTATGTCTTGAGGAAAGAATAAAAGAACGACTAAGCATTTGACTGTTTTCAAATATCACCTTCTCACTGCTCTACCTCTGTCCTCTGGAATTGGCATAGCCTTGCCCATACTCCATACTCGGGCACAGGAAACTAAATCCTCCTGGATGGAAACAGACTCTCTCCACGTTTCTCTAATGTTATATATTGTATCTCAAGTGTACAATTACTCTTCTATCACTCAAGGATTAACAGTACAGAGCTGGGATCAAACAGATACTTATTTGTATGTA